GGGTGAAACAAGGCGACCCTCTATCGCCACTGTTATTTAACCTATCCATGGAACCCTTAATCGAATTATTAGAAGAAGAAACTGATGGTATTCTGGTGAACGATACGACAAAGGCATCTGTATTGACCTTTGCAGACGATATCGTTTTCCTAGCAAAAGATACCTAAGAAGCTCAAAAACAATTAAATGTAGCTACCCAATACTTACATACCTTAGGAATGAGCATCTCGTCAGGAAAAAGCTGTTGCTTCCAAATAATTGCCAAGAAAGACACTTGGTACCTCAAAAATCCAAACCTCAAATTAAATAATCAGGAGATAATTCCTAATGTAGAACCTGAGGACATATTTAAATACCTAGGTGCTAATGTGGGTCCATAGAAAGGTCTCTATAAAGGCATAGCTGTGCCGGAAATTATTAAAATAATCAAGCGGGTCAGAAAATTCTGCCTGAAACCTCAACAGAAAATTGATATCATAACAACCTATATTTTACCCCGCTTTATCTACGGTCTCCAAGTTAGTGCACCAAGTGCTTCGACTCTTAAGCTATTAGCTAATGAAATAAGACAGCAAGTGAAAGAAATTTTGCATTTGGTCCCATCAACCGCGACGGGCTTTCTTTATACCCCAAAAAGCAACGGTGGGTTGGGACTCCCCAGATTTTAACATACCATAAAATTATCTATATTAAAAACGGCAATTAAAATGAAATCTTCAGTAGATCCAGCTGTATCATTATTATTTAATGAGCAATACGAAAGTAAATTAAAATTAATTGCAAATTCTCTACGAATAAATTAGCCTGCCACAATAGACGATATCGAAATAGCCAAGAGAAGACTGCGTAAAGAAAATATACAGCAATGGTCGAATCTGGGAAGTCAAGGACAGGGGGTGTCCGATTATGCACAGGACAAAATTGGCAATTGTTGGCTAAGAAATCAAAACCTTCTCAAAGCATCTAGATTTATCGATGCCATTCGGCTACGTACAAACACATTTGGTACTAAAGTTGTACTAGCCAGAGCCAGCAAGAGCACTGACATCACATGCAGAAGATGCCATGCCCAGCCGGAAATTTTGGGCCACATTTTGGGCCTGTGTATTCACACTAAAAGTTTAAGACATTTAATGAATTAAAAGACACGATGAAGTAAAATCTTTTATAGCAAATAAACTATCGATTTCCAACGAAGTGATGGTTGAGCCTACACTAAAAGTCTCGGGTAGTCTCTATAAGCCGGACCTCATAGTTAACAATGGGGAAAGGACTCTCGTGGTCGATGTTACCATCCGCTATGAGAACAGGGATTATCTGAAACAAGCCTCCGAAGAAAAGACTAATAAATATAACGCTTGCTTACAACATCTACTAAAGAATAACAGACATAAGGAAGGCAAGATTTTACCAATCGTAGTTGGCAGCAGAGGTACATTGCCACCTGCCACAAAACAGCACCTCAAAGACTTAGGGTTTAAAGATAGAGATATGCATATCTCTTATGGTGCTGCGTAGTTTCATCGAAATTTCAAATATAGACTACGATAAGCATGGGGAAGGATAAAATCGG